GGTTCTAAAAGGAGATAAACTCACAAAAGAGATGTCAACGCAACTTTTTACTATTCCTTTATTTAAAGGAACTCCCTCTGTAATGGCAGCTCCCGGTAACCAACCACCTGTGTGTCGGTGAAGGAATGGATAGAAAAAAGAGGTGTAAGGTCTAAGGATATGGAAGCTTAAGCTGTGAGAACCTGAGAAAATGTTTTCGGGTCTAAAGTATGTAAGTGAAATTTGTAAAGGGCGGAGGACACGAGAGCTTAAGCTGTGACAAGAAGGTGATTTAGGGTGTGTAAATGCAAGTTATAAAAGTCTGAAGACTTGAAATTTTGAGTTGTGATAAGAAATTGATTTAAGGTATAAAAGATTTTGTTTCTCTCTCTACACTATCCTTATTGCAAGACTTCAAAAGTTCAGAATTTTGGCAATCAACGAGTTCTGTTAAGCTATTTATCTAGCTTTGGTGAGTAAGTGTTGACTACTATTATCATCGTCAGATGCTCAAGATTTTAACTCTCCTGTTGTCTTCTAAGTATAGACTTAAAAGTGCTTCTCATTGTTCTAAAAACATCTGTCTAGCCTATGGACATCCAGTCTTCAGGATACAAGAACGAGTGTTCATGCATTTAACCCCAAATCACTTATTCCCCAAGCTTCTACTATTACTCAAAGGCATGAGTCTACCACCTTATCTACAATGTGGATTTCAGTACAGATTACAAACAGTGGTAATGCTAACATATCTAAAACTCATCTCTTTGTAAACTTAGAAAGCTCTTGTAAGCTTCCGGGAATTGACTCGGACCCACCTCTTACATACAAAAATGACTCCAGATAAGTACTGTCAATCAGCAGTCTTTTTCCCCAAATGCCTATTCTGCTCATTCCAGCGGATGGGAATCTCCCCCTTTCCCTGGTCTTGGGACTCCCTTACCCCAACTACCAGGATCATGGGCCTAAAAGTTACATCTAAAAAACATTTCTTCCTAAACTCCTTAATTATTCTTTAAGTTTATCTTCTGCCCCTACTCTCTCTCTCTCTCTCTCTCTCTCTCTCTCTCTCTACGTGCGTATGTGCATGCGTACTTGTGTGTGTGTGTGTGTGTGTGTGTGTGTGTTCCATCATTCTGCCAGGTTTAGATATTCCCTCAAAATCTGCATCCTAGACAGCTTCAAAGCGGCTAGCCCCAGGTGGCCCAGCTTCACAGATACTGTCTGTACTTCATAGCCCCAGATGGTCCTGCAGAGCCTGGAAGGCAAGTACAACATCCTGTTCTTCCAGGACTTGGCCAGCATCCCTGCTTCCTCGGGTCCTCAAACCCATCAACACCCCTAGCCATCAAGAAGTAGTCCAAAGAGCATGATACCTCACCATCACCCCTAGCTCTTTACTCACCTGCCTCACTATCACCGGTTCCTACTTCCTGGCCTTTTCTCATGAACAAGCAGGAGGAATGTTAGAATCCAGTTGCTCAGCCAGCCTGCCCTCAGAGACTCAGGGTCAGCACTCATGTCTTCAACAGCTGTTCTACTCTTTAAAAGGTCCCTGGCACCAGCCCAATCTCTTGGTCTCTCATTGTCTGTCTCTGTTCTCTCTCTCTCAGATGGCCTTTGATGCCTCCCCATAAGTCTCTTACATGAGACCTGCGGTGTGGTGTGATCTCTGTAGCTTTGCCGAGGTGGTGGTTAAGCATGAATTTGCTTTTTATAACTGATTTGTTTTTTATTTATATGAATGCATGCAAGCCTGTTTAAGTGTATGTGCACCACGTGCCAGCAAAGCCTGCAGAAGCAAAGGAGGACATTTGATTTCTGGAAACTGGAGTTACAAATAGTGGTGGTGACTTGCCAAGTGGGTGTTGGGAACTGAATCCCGGTCCTTTGTAAGAACAGCAAGTGGTCCTAACCACTGAGCATCTCCACAGGAGGGCCCCTGGGTCTACAGCTTCCGCAAATGAATCACAGGACAGGTTTAAATCATGGTGGGAGGAAGCTACCTACTGTGCATAGTGTGCATATTTGCAGGGAAGAAGATAACAAAAGCTCCATTTCTCCCCTCTTTTCCTTTTGGGGCAGGCCCCAGGAGAACAGCTGATCTCTTATGGCTGTTAAACATTAGCAATAAACCTCACTGGAATTATGCTTGAACCAAGTGACGTAGAAGAAAGTTTGTACCAAATAAATTTGCGTCGATTAGAATCTGCAGGTGGCCTGAAGCATGCCTGTGTTGGAAGCCAAATTATTCAGCGCTGGATCCTTTTGAAAAGGGAACAAAGCGCCTTTCATTGCTTGGATTCTGAGCACAGCTTAGTACTTCATTAGAAACCTCTTAGCTCGCCCCAGGAACCTTTCAGATTTAATTATGAGGTGGGGTAAAGCCCCCTCTGCTCAGAACATCACACTGAAGCATTTTATTCTGTTTCCTGGGAGACCTCCAAGTTTTACAAACTCAAGAACTCACCAGTGGCTATTTAATATTTTCCCCCTGAAATCTAAGATCAGGCTAAATCAAAGCAAACATCTCAGCCAATATGAATTCTGAAATGAAAAGTACAAAGAACTCAAGGGCAATGGCGTTAAAGACAAAGAAACCTGAGTGCCTTCTACGGTTCTGCCACCTTGTCATGCTGCTTATGGTTGGCTGTCAATCTTATTTTCTTCTTTATTAAAATCAGGAGGTGTCTAACTAAATGTCACAGCTCTACACCTTTATCATTTGGGGGATTGCAAAGGCGCTTTGAAGTCATAATTTTAGGGCGCTGGAGACATGGACCAGTGGACGGAGTGTTTGCTACACAAGCATGAGGCCCCTGGCTTGACTGCCAGCATCCACACAAAAAGCTAGGATATTGGCAAGCATCTGCAATCCCACCATATTCACAGGTTAGGGGCAGTGGAGGCAGGTGATCCCTGGAGCTCACAGTCACAGAGAAATCCTGTCTCAAATAATAAGATGAAATTAACCCATGATCCTCACATGGACTTACACCTTTATGTGCATACACGTTTCTCACACACAGACACACATTCCTAAACACACAAACCAGGGCACAAACAGGCCATACATCTAAAACTACACTATCTGATTATTAGCTTTTAAATTCCAGTGTAACGGGGCTACTTAATCACTGAAAGCCATGTATAACGGAACCCATAGACTTTTCATGAATGTTTCATGAAACAAAGCAAAAAAAAAAAAAAAAAAACCAAACCAAAAAAAAAAAAAAAAAAAAAAAAACAAAAACAAAAAAACTAAAAGATGAATAGATAACTCTTGAATCTCAAGTCTTACGTTCTAGTTCTGAATCCTAAAATCAATAAATTCTTTTTATATACATCATAGAAATACAGACAATAGAATACTAGAGAGAGAGAAAAAACAATGTTTCAGTTCCCTGGATTCAATTCCAAAGGTGGCTCAGTGGGTGTTTGCTGTAGGAGTGTGAACACTTGAGTTTGGATCCTATCATCTCCTTAAAGCTGATGCTGTACCAGAAAATGTGTATTCTCCATGCTACTGTGCATAGATACGATGTAGAGACAGTCTCGCCTGGTTTAGGCAGCTATGAAGAACAAGACATGCTGTGTTAAACAAAGTGGAAGGTGATGAATAGCATTGGATATTTTCCACTCACTTCCACAAGTATGCCTACAGATACACGCACACGCACACGCACACACACACAGCAGAATGGACTAAACCAGCATAGTAGTGAACCTCCCTACTCTAGCTCTTCCATTTTCCTGACTGACCAAAACAGAGAAAAAAAAAAAAAAAAAAAAAAAAAAAAAAAAAAAAAGATAAGGGCATTTGTCTGTGATGATGTTTGATGCTTTATTTGTGGACTTTGAAAATATTAAGGTTTCTCTTCGTCTGTTTAACTGTACAGAGAGCATGTTATGTTCACACGATCACAGTAAATACCTGTGTAATGCCATTTCAGGGGTTGTGGGTTTTGCTAACTGTGCTATTAGTTGCTGTGTTTTGTTATAAGAGGTACACAGGAGTGTATCCAAAGGTATGACAGAGCCTGCTTTTACAGTCACTTGGGTCAGCTGGATTGCTGGCTGCATGTGTAATGCACCCACATCCAGTTAGCAGATGTGACAGCACACTGGTAAGTTTCCATTGTTAACTTGTTCTAGCTCAGAGTCACCTGAGAGGAAAGTTTGGCTGAGGAACTGTAGCTCAGGTTGGCCTGAGGGCATGTCTGTGAGGGATGGCTTTGCCTGTTAAGCAAAGTGGGAAGACACTCGCTGAATGTGGATGATGCGGTTTCCGGGGCCAGCCCTGAACTGTAGGAGAGGGAAGGGGCTGAGCATAAAGAGCACAGACAGCAAGCAGGGGTCCATTGCTTCTTTCTGCTCCTGAGGGTGAATGTGATGTGGCCTCCTTCAAGTGACTGCCACTATGGCTTCCCCTCGGCAAGGGGCTGATTGTGACCTAGCATTGTGAGCCAAATAAATGTCCTTCCCCTAAATGCTAAATTGTTTCTTCTCCTCCTCCTCCTCCTCCTCCTCTTCTTCCTCCCTCCTCCTCCTTCTTCTCCAAGACAGGGTTTCTCTGCAGCTTTGGAGCCTGTCCTGGAACTCACTCTGTAGACCAGGCTGGCCTCAAGCTCACAGAGATCCACCTGCCTCTGCCTCCAGAGTGCTAGGATTAAAGGTGTGTGCCACAACCGAGCTCAGCTGACCAAAGTCCTCTTATCCATTACCATTTCACAACCTGGCCATGAAACGAAATGCCTGCTGTTGGTGCCTATGCTAACCAAAATTCTAGATCATTCAGAACTACCAAAGCTAATCATCAACTCTATTTCACCGTGGGAACATCTCTTTGTATGATATCTGACTGCCATACATTCCATCTTCCACTGTCTCTGTCATGATACAGGCAGCAAAGAACAGCTGGATGTGAAGTATGTAATTGTGAGAGGCCTAAAATCTAAATCCAAGGCAGAAACCACCCCCCCCCCGGAAAAATCTCATCAGAGCTGGATTTTATGCCTTACTGGGAGTTGTGTTATTTTCACAGGGTCCCTCCTCATTGGGTGTTTCAGCTTCTTCCTCCTCCTCTTCTGGGTCATCAGTGTCTCCCGAATCATCGCTGTCATCCACCCATTTTCCCGGCATGAGACCCGCAGAGTCATAGGAGTGGCACAGAGGACCCACAATGTGTGAGATAAAGGATTCTTGAAGATTGGCCAGCTGCGGGGCAGAGCGGTCCATAAAGGGGCTTATGGGCAAGCCGAGGCTGGCTTCTTCATCGCCCTAGAAATAGGAATTCGCAAAGGTAAATGACAGAGGAGTATACACGTAAGACAAGTCAACATTCAGCTGGCGTCTGGTGTGTGCACACTCCATAACCCAGATAGTCACATAAAATCCCCGACCTGTAGCAATTCGGCATTTCAATGTTGTTCATAGCAACTCACTAGATTTTTCTGTCATACTGACATGTCTCTCTAAAATGCCTACTGATAATTTTACCTTATTTAAGAGTTTAGTTCATTTTCAGACATCATTTTTAAGTTCCTGACAAAACTGCTCTCTCTCTCTCTCTCTCTCTCTCTCTCTCTCTCTCTCTCTCTGTGTGTGTGTGTGTGTGTGTGTGTGTATGTGTGTATCACAAGTACGAATATAAGATGGAATGATCACGCTGTAATGGCAAGGACAATGGTGGATGATGCAATTCTGTGAGTTACCTGCTCATAAAACTCACTGGCGATGCCCTCTGTCCACCTCAGGTGGAGTTCTTTACATTTAGCAGGCCCGTTGATGTCAGCCAGCTTTATACACATTTGACACACCAGGAGACGGTCATTTTCATTGGTCCAATCTATCCCAACTTCATCATTCACCTGTTTGAGGGACAAAATTAACATGTTGTGTCTCTATGATAGTTCAACTAGAACATGAGAAATGACAAGAGAATCTTTCTGTGTGGCAATGAGAACGTCAAACATCAGAACTCCCGATACTGGAACTGATGCCATCATCTTGCATGGAAAACAGAAAGTGTCTATACAAGTTTGCGCTCCCACCAGCAGTGGGGGAGTGTTCCCTTCTCCCACAGCATAAACTGTCCTGGGTGTTTTTGATTTTAGCTATTCTGACAGGTGCAAGATGGTATCTCAGAGTTGTTTTGATTTGCAAATACCTGATGGCTAAGGATGCCATCTTAAGCAATTTCTTAAGTGTCTTTTAGTCATCTTAAATTCCTCTATTGAGAATTCTTTATTTAGTTCTATGCCTCACTTTTTTTCTATTTTTTTAAAATTTAAATTAGAAACATTTTTTTTAACATGTCAATCTCAGTTCCTTCTTCCTTCCTTCCTCCCTACACTCTACTGACCCCCTATCCCATCCTCTTTCTGCTCCCCAGGGAGAGTGAGGCCTTCCACAGAGAGTCTTCCAAGTCTGCCACATCATTTGGAGCAGGGCCTAGGTCATCCCCCATGTAGAATGGGCTCCCAAAGTCCATTTGATTACTAGGGATAAATACTGATCCACTACCAGAGGCCCGATAGACTTCCCAGTCCTCCTAACTGACACCCATGTTCAGGGGGTCTGGGTCCATCCTATGCTGGTTTCCCAGCTGTCAGACTGGAGTGCATGAGCTCCCCTTGTTCAGGTCAGCACTTTCTGTGGGTTTCTCCAGCCTGGTCTTGACCCCTTTGCTCATCACATCTCCCTTTCTGCAATTAGATTGCAGGAGTTCTGCTCAGTATTTAGCTGTGGATGTCTGCTTCTGCTTCCATCAGTTACTAGATGAAGGCTCTAGGATGTCATATGGGGTAGTCATCAATCTCATCATCAGAGAAGGGCATTTAAGGCAGCCTCTCCACTATTGCTTAGATTGTTAGTTGGGGTCATTCTTGTGGATCTCTGGACATTTCCCTAGTGCCAGATTTCTCTTTAAACCTATAATGGCTCCCTCTATTATGGTATCTCTTTCCTTGCTCTCCTCTATTCTTCCCCCGACTCAATCTTCCTGCTCCCTCACGCCCTCCTCTCCCCTCCTCTCCTCCCCTTCTCTTTTCTCTAACTCCCTCTCCCCCCCCCATGCTCCCAATTTGCTCAGGAGAACCTATCCATTTCCCCTTCTCCAGGGGACCATTATACCTCACTTTTTAATTGGAATATTTGGTGTTTTGGTGACTAGCTTCTTGAGTTCTTTGTATATTTTGGAAATCAGCCCTCTGTCAGATGTGGGGGGTGAAGATCTTTTCCCATTCTGTGGGCTGCTGTTTGGTCTTGTTGACTGGGTCCTTTGCCTTACAGAAGCTTCTTAGTTTCAGGAGTTCCCATGTATTCATTCCTGTTCTGAGTGTCTGGGCTACTGGTGTTATGTTTGTACAGCCATTCTGGAAATCAGTATAGTACTTTCTCAGGAAAATTGTAATCAGTCTACCACGAGATCCAGCAATTCTACTCTTAGGCATATATCTAAAAGATGCACATTCATACAACAAGGACATCTGTTCAACGATGTTCATAACAGCATTATTTGTAAGAGCCAGAACCTGGAAGCAACCTAGATGTCCCTCAACCAAGAATGGATAAAGAAAATGTGGTATATTTACACAATGGAGTACTACTCAGTGGGGGAGAGGGGACCAATGAAGTCTTGAAATTTGCAGGCAAATGGATGGAACTAGAAGAAAACATCCTGAGTGAGGAAACCCAGACACAGAAAGACAAGTATGAACCTTCATCTAGTAGCTGATGGAAGCAGAAGCAGAGATCCACAGCTAAACACTGAGCGTAGAATCCAGTATTTGTAGAGAGGGAGGAGTGATGAGCAAAGGAGTCAAGACCATTCTGGGGAAACCCACATAAACAGCTGACCAGAGCAAGTGGAAACTCATGGAAAACCATCTGACAGCTGGAGAATCAGCATAGGACTGAACCAGGCCTCCTGAACTTGGATGTCAGCTGTGGGACCTGGACAGTCTATAGGGCTTCTGGCAGTGGAACCAGTATCCATAGTGTATGAATGGACTTTGGGAGCCCATTTCCTATTGGAGGGATACTCTCTCAGTCTAGATACCTGGAGGTGGGCGGGGGGAGAATTAGGCCCTACACCAAATGATATGACAGACTTTGATGATCCACCATGGAAGGCCTCACCCTCCCTGGAGAGTGGATGGAGGATGGAATGGGGGGGGGTCTGTGGGGGGAATGGGAGGATAGGAGGGAGAAGGAACTGGAATTGACATATAAAATAAGATTGTTTCTAAATTAAATAAAAATTCATCAAAAAAGAACAAAAATGTGATGCAGCTCATCCAAAATTAAAGTAGTTAATGAAACAAATTATTATTTCTGAACTTACAAGAAATCCTGTTTGCAGTTATCACCTAATACCAATTTCTATTAAATAATAAAACTACAATACGTTTTCTTTTGTATGTGCATGTATAAATGTACTTGCAGGTGTGTGTGTGTGTGTGTGTGTGTGTGTGCGTGCATGTACGTGTATGTATGTCTGTCTGTCCTTCCTCAGGAACCACCACCGTGCTTTTTAGACAGGGGCTCTCTCTGATTAGGCTGGTGCCTAGTGAGCCTCCAACGTCAGTCTCTGCATTGCTGAGACACTCATATCATGCGTGGCTTCTTCCCAGGAACAAATAAGAACCCTTCTGGAATGAATAGTTGGGCTTTTATGCTTGATAACACATGAAGTTTTGCATCATGTTTTCTGACCTTTCTATTCCTGTCAGATGCTTCACCTTATACACTGTAGACATGCTTACATATGAAGTCAAACGAAGCAACAGTGGTAGCTAATATTTCTCATTCTCTATAGAACAAAGTCTAACATACACGGCCAAGGTGACTTCATGCCATCTTGGGGATAAATATTTCAATCGCTTGCTTCTCACAGAAAGCTCATTGCGACTGAGTTTTGCTCACTATTTCGAATACAAAGCTCCTCTTAATGTGTCCATAAAGTGAACACTGGTAGAGACCTACTTACCTTGGCATTAAATTTGGCTACAAAGTCAAAGTGTTTCTTCAGGTCAGTAGCCAAGATCGCTTCAATGACAAGGAACCGGAAATGCTTAAATTCCACGTGGTCCAGGTTACCTAAGAAGTTGTACTCTGGCCGGGACATGAAGAGGTTCCACGCTGCAGCCGCATGGTGATTCTCCAGGACAGATCGGTCATTGTACAGCACCGCCTAGGCAGGAGAAGGGAGGGCTCAACTTCTCAAGTTAAAAACAAATCACAAAAGTCTCTGATGGTGACTATTAAGAATCACTGTGTTATCCTGACTGTTGATGCCTTTTCTTGGGTAATTTTATTTTCTGACATATAAGTTTCTCCCCCTAACACTTTTTTTAAAAAATCATTATATATAATTATGTATATGTTATTACATACATACATTATATATCTATAGACAATATTTTCTTTTAGAAAGTTTTTGTTTGAGAAAATGTTACTTGGGTCAAAAGAATTCTTCCCAATGTATAAGAAAAACAGATAGTAAATTTCTACCAATGAAATACATGCACTAAGAATCAGTGTTGCCATGGAAATATGTCCAAGAGTAAGTTTTACATGCAAAGTCCTATGCTCTTCAAAGACCAAGGAAAACATAGTTCTTCAATCTTTTCAGAAAGGTGTGTGTGTGTGTGTGTGTGTGTGTAAGCTGTCTTTGCTTTGTTGAGGATATTCACTCTTAGTCATTTGATTCTCTCCTAAGAAGGCAACAGAGAAACAATCTTTCTTTGTGATGATGTTGAACATCAGCCAGGAATAACTCGGCACAAACCATGACACCTTTGGAATTAACAGGGCCTCCAAGAATTTTAACTGAGGACTAAACACAGGTTGGTTCCCATAGACCCTAGTGCCTCTTCAAAGTCACATTTGTAAAGTTAGTTTTATTCCAAGAAATGTGTACTCTAAATTATTTTCTCCTCGTGAAAACCTAACGGTTACCTGTGGGGCACTGGTGGCAACCAGGAAAGCATTCGTCCTCCCTGGGTGATCGTAGTCATGCATGGCTGCAGCGACATACAAGGCCATCAGCTCCAAGGCAGGGATATTTCCAGACAGACATCCGTATTTGTCATCTGGCACGTGGTACATTTTTGAAAACACATATCCCATGTGTCCGTGGGTAAATCCACTGTCAGAGTCTGGGAAGGGGGGGGGGGGATAGATAGAAAGTCTTAAAAACTTTAAAGCTGGACTCATCTTTCTGATTTCTTTTGAAAACAAAGCCCACAACCAAGTTCCTAGCTTTTACAGGAAGTACAGGCATAATTCATACACACCCGAGTCACTTGCTGATCCATGATCACTAACCACACTTGGTAGGCCAGGGATTGGCTGTGTTGTGAGATACCATACAGCGTGTAAAACATCAGTGGCGTGGATTCTGTTATGATCTGAAACAATGCAAAGAGCAGATGTCAGCCGCTGAAATCTGGGGTCCGAGGATAAAGGGTGCCATCTACTGGATAAACACTTCTGTCCACACACATTAATTCTCCAGGGAAGGCATGCCATGCCAGACTTCCCTGGACAGGTGCTTCTGGAAAATTCTTCCACCTATTTTATCATTTCCACAGTAACAAAAAACCCACAGCATTTATTGTGCATGTGGGTAACCAAAGTGGAAAAGCCAATGTCTGATTTTTCCAGAAGTCTATGCATGCAGGAAACTCAACATTTTTTGTTTATATTTCTGTTTCTTTCTTCCCATACAAGAAATACTATAGTATTTCTTGCAGAAAGAAAGATCTAAACTACCAAGACCAATTGTTACAAAGGCCAAAATTTCACCTTAGGTTAATGACATCTTCTTCCTTATTTACAGCAAAGATACCCAGCTGAAGGGACAAGTGGCAATACCAAATTCCTCATATCCTTCTTTACCATTAGGAATCAGCAGGTGTCCATCAACACCAAGCCTCAGCAAGCAATCATCGCTTTTTTTTTCACACTTCTACTAATAAGTTGCCTACGTAGGCTGTCCTGCTGCTTCACGGAATTTCTTCCTTAATCTCTCTCTTTTTATAGCTGCATCTGGATGAACTCAGACTAACACGAATGGCAGTTAACTTTTATGCTCCCCTGTGCCCTGAACAGAGTTACAGGTGGACTCTGAATAGAGTCTCAAGTCACAGGCTATCTGATTCCATTTTTCACCTTCCTCCCATGGCTTTTTAATATTACAGAAAGCCATCAGACATATAATTCTTCAGGAGTGTCAATGCTAAAATAATTGGAGCGAGCAGTGAATGTTTGTAGTTAAAACTATGACAAGGAAGGCTTTTGTTGGCTTTCTTACATTAGTCTCCTCACAGAGAGGAGATACTATATTTCCAAGCAGCACAGATCGAGCTAAAGCTTTCCTACGAGATGGAAACCAACTATTTTATGGAAATGCAAGGGGCCAAGAGACCTTGAATAGTGCAAGCAGGTTTATTACTAATTTTTTTTGTGTGTGTGTGTGTATACACATCTATGCACAAGCACACCCTGGAGGTCAGAGGAAAACCTTTGGGAATGAGTTCTCGACGTCGACCATTGGGTTCAGGGATGAGACTCAGGTCCTCAGCTCTGATGGCAAGTATCCTTATCTGCTGAGCCAACCTGTTTGCCCTGTAAGTATGCTTGCTATATAAATTACTTTCACATGAAGTGGGCAATACCATAGTTTACAAAAATATCTACTCATCTAAAATAGGAAATAGAAAACATAAAAATAGTAAGTTTAGGATCCGGAAGCTTCTTTTTATCCTTGAATGCTGGTCCTGTGCTCCCCATCATTTCATGTGACCCCACAAACATAGCAGAGCAGCATGACCACACATCACAGTGTTTCTATGCAGTGTGGCATCTAAGTGAATTCAATAAAACCTGCCGAGTGAAAATTAAAATACATTTGTGAATAGAACAGTAATTTGTAAATCCAGTCTGGCGCATGACTATAGCTTTCCCGTGGCTGCCTTTCTGAAAATGTTTATTTATGTAGCTCCTTAATCCTTGTGAAATCGCTAACATTTTTGTCACTTGTTGGCATCTGACCAGACTGGGCCCTGGGAAAGTCACATTAAAGGAAGCCAGGCTTATGGCCAGGTCCTCCCCCCAACCCCCTTCTCATGTCCCTCTTCCAACTTCCACGGCCTCAGCGGCCAGACTTTCCCAAAGGACCCAGTACCACTAAGCATCTCTTCCCCCCCAAGCCAACTGGCCAGTTTTGCCCATACTTGATCTTGTATTCCCCAGCATCTCCCAGCGGCACACTATGCCCTACGCATCTTCACATGAGTATATCATGTGTGTCCCTTAAAAACACCCTGCTCACTAGGCTAGCATGTTCAGCCTTTTCAGAGATGCTTGCCAATTATTTGTGTCCAAGTATAAGCATTTTTAAAATTTAACTTCAATTTTTTTTTGTTTTTGCCTTTAAAACAGGGTGACTTTTCCTATAGTTCAAGATTGTTTTGAACTCATTACGTGGTCCCGGATAACCCTGACTTTCTGCTCCTACTGTCTCAGCATCTTGAGTGCTGAAAGCACAGACACATGCCACCAGATTTCCCACTTGCTCAGCAAGAATTTTACCAACAGGGTTGTACCCCAGCCCTTCACTTCAAATCCTGATGACTAAAAGAAGACATAAGCTTTTGAAGTTCAAAATGTGTAAAAGAAAAAAGGGAAAACATGTTTTAAAAATGACACGCGTCCAATGTTAGTACACACGCTGTTAGAGTCTATAGAGAGCACATCCCTAAGATGTACGCGGATTACTAGAGTGGATAGAATTGGTTTTCCTCGTATGTATCTGTTCCTTTCAAAGACCATACCGTATGGATGCTATCTACTTCTGTAGGTCCTTCAGTTGTGCCTTTGGACATTCTCATCAGCTCCACAGTTCTATAGTATAACAATCATGCTTACACACAGTGATGCAGTGGATTTGACATGAACATTTAGCTTCTCCCCTGCACTCTGCCTTCATTATCATAATCTTCTAGATAATCAGAACTGGAACTCTTGGCTGTGCCCTCCCATGGGGGTTTCACATGTGCCTGACTTTTTAAAATGTCCCTATTACCATGTATGCTCCTTCTTTTCTATACTATTCACCAAAACACCGTCTCCCAGCCCCTCTGAACACTAACCAGATTTATCTCACCCCGAGAAAGCATCAATTGTTCTTGTTTTAGTTGTTGAACTGGTCAGATGCCGTGATAAAAGTTTAAATTCACTCGATAAAAACAGATGGTTATTTAACGAGAATAAATTTAAATTTAACATTTACTCGTACCCCAAACAGCTACGAGAGATATGCAAGGCACCTATTCTAATCTTTTAAGAAGTATCATCCCATTTGATCCTGACACTCATGTGCAGTGGATCTCATGGCCCTAATTTCAAGGTAAAGAAAGGAAGCTAGAGGAGGTGGGTGAGGCTGCAGGGTCTCACACAGTGTGTGGTGAAGGGGACAGGCTTCCAGAAGCAGCAACCACACAGATGAGCCATTGACTTGGCCTCCTACCGCCATCACTCTCTACAGGTCTGGCAAGCAAGCATTGGATCATCTTACTTATACTCACAAGGAATGTCCCTGTATCCGATCTCCAAAGCATGAAAATAATTCATAAATTCCCTAACTGGGATTTTAAAGGCTTCAAAGAGGCCCATGTCTTCAAACAGTCTGTATGATACCTGGAAAGGAGGAAGACAAGACATCACTCTTTGTGCTGGAGATGGCAAAGGGTAAGACTGTGCATCCACCAACCATACTGATGTGCTCCCAATAGAGATATTTCTATTGGGAATAACAAACACACTGAAGACTTCTGTGTACTGAGCCCATGGAGTGCCTTACCATAAGGGCCATGCCATCAATTCCACAGACATCCAAAAAACTAAGAAAAACCCCAGTATAAATCAAAACAATGCACTGAGGTCTTAAATTGGCGATTACTGAATACATTGAGATAATACATACATGCCAAGCCAGGCCTGGCATCTGCCACCTGCAACCCCAGCATGGGGAGGATGTGGCAAGAAGCTTTCCATGGCTTTGAGACCAGTGGTAGAAATATTACTCTGATTATTATCATCAATATTTGAGTTCTTGTATATAAGCACTAAGGGAATTAACAATACCTGCCAGATCAATAATAATTATAGTAACAATGGCAACGGCGTGTAAAAACATAGTATCAAATGAAACACATATCCTATTCAGTTAACACATACTCATTGTTTATAGATAGTTCTCAGAGTACCTTTTGAGATTGGTACTATGAGTTCCCAATATCTGATAGCAGAGGATGCTGGGAAGAGAAGGGTTGAGTAACTTGCAGAAGATCACCTAGTTGGTATAGAGCAGAGCCAGAATCCAAACTGCACATTTAGGTTTTAGAGTTTGTAGTCTTAACTACTTCAAACCCCACAACCACAACTGGGAAATCAAAGTAATTAGAACTTCAAAGTATTAGAGTTTCCATATGATTTTTTAAAAAACAAAAATAAAACAAAACAAAAAAACCAGGATCTCCCAATATACCCCTGGCTAGACTGGAACTCACTATTAGGTCAGACTGGCCTCAAACTCACAGAAATCCACCTACCTTTGTCTTCCAAGTGCTAGGACTAAAGATCCCCAAAACTCTTGTAAAACTGTTCAAAGATAAACTAAGAGTCGAGACTACAGTGGGTTACTCCAGAGTCAGATTTTGTATCAGGGCATTGAAATCAAGGATCTGTCAAAAGCAACCAGCTAGTATTTCACACAGAATCATTCCAAGTGCATGAAGAAAGGATCAGGACCTGAAACTGTGTTCACTGAAAAGAGCAAATATAATTTCAAAATATGAAGGCTGGAGAGAAGGCTCAGTGGTTAAAATCACTGGGCACTTGTGCAGAGAACCAAGAATCAACTCCTAGTACCCAGGGTTATCTCACAACCATGTGAAATCCAGTTCCAGAAGATTCAGTGCCCTCTTCTGGCCTCCACAGGTACCAGGAATGCATATAGGGCATAGGCACACATGTAGGAAAATACTAATACACATAAATAAGAGGAATAAATTGATTTTTACTAAAAAGTAAACACGTAAAACATTCAGATGCTAATAATTCCAGCAAGGTCAGGAGCAATGGCCACTGCACATACAGCTCTTCAAAAGCCCTGTGGAGTCTCAGACAAAAGGTGACTCTTGGGCTGCCTATGCTAATTAATCCCAGCTGTCCTAACATCTCACTCAAAGTGCTGTGGAAGTCAGGCTGGGAGTCAGGGGGGCCTTTCCATAATCAGAACTCTGTGACTCATCATCTCAAAGGCAGAATCTCAGAAAGGTCTACTTAGCAAGACAACTAAAACTGTTCTCTCCCAAGTTCTATGCTCCATGATTGATTGAGGCGAACGGTAACATACAAAGAGTATGTCTTCCCGGATGACTTGTACACTGGCATACAAAACATACATAGGGAGCTTTGAGATCGAACTGTTAATTGTCCTAAATATTCCTAATGTCTGCTAGTAATCACGATTCTGAAACAGGTGAAGCAGCTGAAAGTGTTGCTCGTGGGTAGAGTCCATGATTAGCAAACTGGATTCAGTCACTAGCAATGCAACAATAAAAAGGTTCACTCGTACGTCTTCCTCTGGGACTATCAAGGCTCACCAGAAATTTGCAGTATTATTTGCTGTATTGACACTGTGCTGAAAAGCCAAGCCATCAGAGGTCACTTTGCTATGTGGTCATACTTTCTATTTGGAGGACTGGTTGTGGCTATGAGCGAACGGACTTCATGGGTTGCTGGGATGAGGCTGAATGTAAAGGATCTGGACTTCTGAGAAGTCTAATCTCACGAAGGATTCTGGAGTCGAATATTTACTCTAAGATTTACAAAGAAAAACAGAAAGGAAAGGAAAACAATATTCTTCAAGCCTTAGTTCCTTCTGTAACACAGAGATTAAAATAAACAAGCTGGCGTGGTGACATAGACTTGTAACTCCAGCCTTCACCAGGTAGAGACAAGAGGATAAAGAGTTCCATGTGATCTTTGGTGACATAGCACGACACCAGCCTGTGTTATATAAGACCTTATCTAAAAAACAAAAAACAAGCAAACAAACAAAAAGAACCAACGAAACAGACAGACCAGCAAACCAACCACTGACACCACCATCAAAAAACAAAACAAAACAAAAAACTATACCAAGCATGTATGGTGTTTGGGATCTGAAACCCAGAACTCTGAGGCTGAGTCAAGAAGACTGTTATGAGTTTAGGCTACACAGGGAGATTCAGACAGGCCAGGCTGTGCTACAGTATGATCCTGTCTCAAGCAGAGAGAGAGCGAGAGCGGGAGAGGGAGAGGGAGAGGGAGAGAGAGAAGGATCTCTGCAAGCAACATGGAAGAGTATCAGGGGCTACAGTGTATCAGAAGTGTTCCTTTCTCCCTGCACACAGGGCACTCTGGTAGAAAGGAATAATCCTGCCTGGACCACAGCTATGTTTTGCAGCATGATACATTATATGCCTAGCTGGGAAACAGCCTGGCTCTCAGTGTCACACATTGCAATTGGATCCAAGCACTTATACAGGGAGAAATGAATTCTGACACCAAGGCAAATGGGATACAGCGGCCGCCTTGAACTTGCTAAGATCAGTGAGCTTTGCAGACGGTTTGGCACTAAGAACTCAGGAAGAGGTGAATGGAACTCTCAAATCCCAACAATCCTGGATGCCTGCCACTGTACCACGCTCATGGCCAGAATGCAGTTTGGCAGAGGTAATTAGCTTCTGCTTCATGGCTCACCACCTAGTTGATCCATCACTAGTCTAAAACAGGTTTATTTCCTAACTTGATTAATAATTCCTTCGGGGAAAGGGCCTCTTCTTGAAGACCAGATGTATTCTCTGGGCCTGTGTATTTAACACTAAAAGTAGGAGCAGCAGCTTCCCATTCAAGTCCTGGGAACTGTATTTTCCTCCAGGTGTTTCATACTCAGGCTCTTGTAGAGCAGTTGAGGACAACCAGACTTGGAGGTGGAGGAGAATGACCCGTGTCCCACAGGTTGCTAGTATTTGGCAGACCAGGTATCAGTGGTCCTCGTCAAAGTGGGCTGGGGTCCAGTCCCACTGAAAGCAATTTTTGGTGTGTTGCTTTGCAGTTTTTTGAGGGAGAGATTCACAGAGCCAAGGGTGACCCGGGGTTCACCAAAGTCAGCAGTCTTTGGGGGGTGCTGTGATATTTACTCATATGCATATTTAAAATATATACTGATATACTGTTATATCACCCCTTAGGTTATAAAAAATAGTCTCTAGTTATTTACTAGGATTTTATGTGCATAAGTGTTTGTCTAATGTACACATGTATTCCATGTGTGTGCATGGCGCCTAGACAGTCCAGAAGAGGATGCCAGCTACCACGTGGGTGCCGGGAACTGACCTCAGGTCCTCTGCATGTCACGAGTGTAACCGTCTACCCAGCCCCTAATCATGCATACTCCCATGGCTATTTTATAAAACAGCCGGTTCATCACTTAGCTTCAGTTCTCGACAAAGACATATTTAAGCATGAAATTTCCATGTGTTTACCTTCCATGTCCACCAAACAACCCACCCTTTAAGAGGGAAACCTTGGGAGAGCCTCCCTTACAGAGAGACAAGACGAACATTCTTCCACACACCCTGGCCACTCACTCCACACTTCTGGTGAAAGACGGAGATGGTTTTGATTTTTCAAACACTTAGACTTCTGATGTTTCACATGCCAGTGTGTGAGATACAGATTTTTGCACAGCGTCTTATTTTCCATGCGGCCTAAGCACCGTGATACTCAAAAGTTAAAACATTAGTCAGGAGATACTATAGCTGGATTTATCAAAAACAGGAATTTCCTTTCTAGGGCCAGGCCAAGCTTCTCTTTGGCTCAATTCTATGAATTTTGGTCACTTGTCCATCTTGCTGATTTATTCCTGCCTCTGCCTCCTTTGCCTTAAAAATTACATAATATCTTATAATTATAAACTACAATACTCAGTTGAAATTCCAGTTGATTTCTGCTCAGTACACAGACAAAAAAACCTACCACACATATGTTCTATGATAAAATCTCACTTCTTTCTGCAAGCCTGCCCACAGGTGTTGAGAATGTACAGATTAGCAACCAACTGACTGTTTCATCTTATCCACTAGACTACATTTCTTACCTGACTCAGGATACGGCCACATTTTCTTCCTATATTTTCCACTAAATCAAAAATTGGAAAATTCCAGGTGTTTAACTGATCCATAATTGAGTCCAGGTTATCCATGACTAGGGGTTCAGGAGCAAGAATTGGTTTGTCCTGTAATGGAGATGGAGATATTTGGACCACACATAATTTTTCTATTAAAAGAAATCATCAGTTTTGTAAATGCAATAAATAACTGTGGCTCTCAGAAATAAATGACTTAAAAGGTCCATGCATCTTAAAACCAGTATACAAACAAAAGGAAGAAAGGAAGGAAGGAAGAAAGAAAGAAGACAGACAGACAGACGGAACATGTGCCCAGAGTAAAGAGGCCGGCTCTGAAAGCAGTTCTGCTGACTTTTCTGTAGTCTGGTGCCAGCTTGCCCCTCTTTCACACACAGCCCAGGCAAACAGATGTTTCTCACAGATGTTAGCTTTAATACTTTTGTGTCAATTACAAGATTCTTTAATGAAGACCAAAGAATCTCAGAAAACTCTGGTGTTATTTCTAGACTTCCTTCTTTCTATACTACAGCAAGTGAGTCTGGGATGCGAGGCTGCCTTATGCTGAACCCTTGACAGAAATGCGTGAGGCAGACGAAGGCTCTCCCCTCCACTTTCATTACATTTATATTTAAGCTGCTCAGATCAGCATTACTCCTGGAGAACGGCAGCTGTCAGACCTTTCAGGAATGAAATTCCATCCCCGAGACCCGAGACCTGCTCTCTACTAAACATCTTGTTCTATGTGAAGCAAGGTCAGTCAGTGTACCGAGTGTCCTAAATCAGGAAACTTTTATTGCCTACTACCAGAAGTATTTTTAAAAAGTAAAGAAAATGAAGAGAATGAAACATTAGAAAGTTTTCATCTGAAAAACTAGCTTGGAGCTACGGGTAGCAAAAACATGGTTATAGAAGAGCGCTGAGGGCAGCAGCTGCTGAGCACAGGCAAGCCAACGACTCCCTGTCCTTGGCAGCCAGGCTTACCCTCTCTCAAACGTGCACCAGTGAGTCTTTGTACCAGACAAGTCACCACCAAAGAGCCTTTTAGAACCAGTACAAACCTGACCTAATACAGCTGGGAAAGCAAATGCCGATTCACTTTCAAATCAAGGGGGTATCAAAGATAAAACAGAAAGCGCCTTGAGAAAAATTAGTCAAGCAATCAACCTCTCTTTCTAAACTGTTAGTTTAATATTATGTTACCACTTAATATTATTTATTAATTCTTCTTTAAACTTATTCACAGGTTTAGATTGTATTGTTTGTATTCTCATGCAAATACTTGGGGCTAGAGAGATGACTCCCTCAGTAAAATGTTTTCCATGCAAACATGGGAGAGGAGTTTTGTTCACTAAAACCTATTAAAAAAAAAAACAAACAAACAGTGTGATAGATGGTGGTGTCTTATAATGTCAGAACTGGGGACATAGAGAAATGGCTAGCCATCCAATCCCACTTCTTACTGAGCTCCTAACTAATGAGAGACTTGCAGACTCACACACACACACACACACACACACACACACACACACACACACACACTTTTCATTACCCAATAAAAGAGTCACAGAGAAACCAATACGCTCAAGAGAGAGGAAAACTGTAACAATACAGCCTGAAGGTTATAGACACAGGGATCTAAAGGGATGCAGCTATAAATCGAATGACAACGGAACCTATTCCTGAGCCCAGCCCTGCAACAGAAGCAAGTTCTCATGGAAACCAATGAGTTTAGTGATGTGGGGCTACCAGGAAGATCATGGTCTGGGATGTATAGACGCCACACGCCGATGCTTTCCTCAGTGGCTCTCTCTGGCACTCGGCCTCCTCTTCGTTCTGCAAAATGTCACTGCCGTCGCTATTGTTGTTGGTCTCATAATCAGAGGTAACTTGGGAAGTGTCATCTGCAACGGAAAGAGATCAGCCCGTCTTAAGAGGGCTGTGATGAGGGCACAAGGAAGTACGCCTCCCGGCATATGACGAAGCATTTGGGAAGACTGTGTTCATGGATCTACAGATCAAAAATCGAATAATAGGGAAGGACATATATTTTCAAGGTTTATTTTAATTTTGACTATGGGTATGCAGTATGTCTGTGTGCACATGATGGATATGCCCGTGGAGGCCAGAGGAAGGTGCTAGATCCCTTGCACCTGGAGTTATAGGCAACTGTCTGTAAGCTATTTAACATGGGTGCTGGGAACAGAACTCAAGTTTTCTGGGCAAGCAATACACATTCCTATATTCTGTGTAATCTCTCAGTCCCCCAAATGCATTTCTAATCCTAATACATAGATGGGACTTAAGATGTGTGATTTATGTGACAATTAGTAACTTTATAATAATAAGTTTTAGGTTAATTGTCTGCATTAATTCTATAAGTTTAATTTTTTTTCCTTCTTTCTTCCCCTTCTTTATTTCCTTCCTTCCTCCCCCTCCCTCCCTCCCTTCCTCACACACTAATTAAGGGCCTGTGTGATGGGAATAATTATGTTGACACACCCAGGGACAAGTGGTCTGCAGAGCATGAAGCAAGGGCTCATGCTTGTGAGCTGCCAGATCTTATGTGTATGGCCCAAATCCTTGGGAATCTGGGCTTCCTCTTCTCTTATTTCCTGCCCCACTATCTCACCTTCCAGTCAGCAATTATTTACCTTAAAATCCAACCAGAAAATACAAGTGTCTAAAGAACATACTTCCAAACAGTGATGGGGAAATGAAACATTTGTAACATTATCTCAGGGTCCTCTTTTCTTCCACCTTTCTAGTGGAATTGCTTGCTGGGTAAACTTAGGAACAAAGGGCAGAATAAACACACGTCTGATCATGATGTGGAGATCTCGTGATCGACAGAGAAAAGGGAGTAGTAGCTCCAGAGAGGACCCCATGAAGTAAGAGCCCATGAAGGCTGGCCTGTGCATTGGAGGATCACGACCATCAGAGCTCAGGGAAATGACCTGACCTGATGTATGTATGTATGTATGTATGTATGTATGTATGTATGTATGTATGTATGTATTTATTTACTTTTTTGTGTGTATGTGTGTCTGTGGTGCCTGAAGAGGCTATAAGAGAGCATCAGCTTCCTGGAGCTGGAGTTACACATGATTGTTGAGACACAGGATGTAGATGCTAAGAATCACACTCATGTCCTCTGGAAGAACAGTTTATGCTCAACACTTCCAAATCATCTCTTCATTTCCACACACGGTTTATTTAATCTTTATAGCGATCTCATGTAGCAGGTACTCTGTCATTTGCAAGTGAAGGAATTAAGGTGCAGAAATTTAGATGGCACGTGATCCAGGAACAGAAGGGAGGGTGATCTAGGTTACAGTACCTATGCTCTCGACTTCAGGATCCTGCCTCATAGAAAAATCATATTATCGTGAACAGTGGTACACAATAGTGGGTTGGGGATCTCACGAGCATATGCTAGGCAGCTAACCCTCTAATGGAAAGGCATCAACGTGAACCGCCATTTATGTATCTCATATAACATAAAGTGCTACACATTACACGAAGGGGACCCTGAGTTTAAAATAATACACATTTGTGTGCGAAGTACAGAAACGTCTGGCAGAGTCCACGTCCAAAGTGTACTCTGAGTTAAATTTAGATAGCGGGTTGAGGATGATCTTTATTTCCTTGTTGGTCATTTTAAGTTTACATTTGATTTAACTTAGCCCGAGAGATGGCTTAGTGGTTAAGAGCATTTGGTGTCGTTGTCGAGGAAGTTTTCCAGCACCCACATCGGGATGCTCACAACCACCCATAACTCAGCTCCAGCTACAGGGTTCTGATGTCCAATTCTGATCTATATGGGAATGACACTCATGTAATACCTCCCCCCCCACACACAGACACACACATATATACACAAAAACTTTAAACATTCAAAAAGTCAAAATTTACAAACTTGCAAAAAAGCTAGGAATTCAATTTGCCTTTTTGGTCAAGAGGAAAATAGAAAATAAAACAACTTGAATTTTGAGCAACAGAATCCAGAAAGCATATTACCTGTTCTGTTTGGTTTCTGAATGGCTGGGCCACTTCTCTCTGAGGGTCCATCAGGAGGGTTCCCTTGTGAATAAGATCTGCCACAGCTGAGGAATGTGGGGAGAGTCTAAGTACCTCTGCACATTTTAAAACACTTTGACGCAAACAGTATCTTCTTACACATCAAACATCCCCTGCCTTGTTCTTTCCCTGCCATGATCAAACCCCTGAGATAGACACGGGGGAAAAAAGATTCACGTTGGCTCATGGTTTAGGGGTGTTGGTCCATAGTCAAGATCTCTTCCGCTTTGAACCAGAACTGAGACAACATATCAGGGCAGTGACAGTGTGTCCTGATCATGGCTCACAGAAAGCAAGAGAGAGCTAAGGCAGAACCAAGGTCAAGGAACACCCTTCAAACTACAACCCTGGGGACCGACTTCCTCTAATGAGGCTCCCATACCATGCTTCCAAAAACTCCCAACAATAAGGGTATCAATAGACCCACCCACTGATCAAGTCAGGGCTGTCTAGATCTAGCTATTTTCTTGGAGTCTCCATGTTTCATATCAAACCCACAACAACACATATAATAAAATATCACAGTCTTCTGCCGTGAGTCTAGAGGGGCAATTCACTGTGTATTACATGCAGATGCCGACGGGTGGTCCTCTTTGGTGAGTGACTAATCAGCAAAAGGGCTCTCAGCTTCATTTGACTCTCCTCTTCCTCCTCCTCAGCCCACATATTTACACTGAAATGCTGACAAGGCTGTTACATTATTTGGAAAGATCCCGGAATAACTGCCATTTGTCTGTGAAGTGGTCCTGCAGGATCTGATGCGTGTCTGGCTATGGCTATCGTCCCACAGGGATACCGTTAGAGCCTCGGGGTTGCACTCATTCCTTGTAGTTAGCATCCTCAATTTCTGATCAGATATTTTAACAAGACTCAGGAAAAAAAATAAAGCAGAATGATACTATATTCATTTTTTATCTTTTCCCAAAATAAATGTATTTCTTTACTGCAAAAATTTCCAGCCATCTTTTAAGGCCTTAAGGAAATGAACAAAGGAGAGGGGCATTGTGGGGGAGAAGTGAGTGAGTATGTACACTATTGTTTGAAAGTCATCAACAACAACAAACAAACAAACGAGCCAACATGATGGTGTGAACAACCGAGATGGTGAAAGTTTCCGGAGAAGTGAATAGTGGCCATAACCATGGTAGGTGTAAGAGGACAATCTTTCTGTTTTCTCGACAACCTGACTATTTTACAAGTCAAAAGGTAATCTCACAAACCCTACTGAGAGCCAAACTGGCCCCTCCTTTATTATTTTGTTTAACTACTTTGCGATTAGATTTCAATCTACTATTTCATGGTTGTGGTCTTTTCTTCTGCATAATTTAAAAGACCTCAGGAGAACATTTTGGTCTCATGGCTACTTAACTACAAGATGACGCAGCATAAAGGAGAAGAAATTAGTTTAATATCAAATGTTTAATATCTAAAAGTCTCATCATCTTCTCAGCTGTACACACAGTAAAATATTTCCCAGCTACAGTATACCATCATACTAAGCAAGTGTAGTTTCCAACCCTGAAATGTAAACAGAAAAGCATTATACAGGATTTATTTCTAATGAGGAAAACCTATCATTTTGCCTTAGGAATCAAGAGAAAATAATAAAAGAAATAAAAAGAAAGTGCATGCTAACTTATGACTTCTAGTCTTGTGTGAAAGCTTATTAGCGAAGCTCCTGAAAAAAAAAATCCAGTTTATTGCAAAGGCCAAGAGACTAGGTTTCAATGCCAAGCCCTTCGAGTTCAGCAGGGGAAACCACAATAGTTAGTCGTGTGTTTCTGGAGCATTCTGTGACTACATGGGTGGCTGCCTTGAAGGGAATTATAAAACCTGTTTTGAATTACGAATTTATAAAACCCAAACAAATAAAATGCACACTACTGGATTTCTAACCATCACTGAACAAGGAGACATAGAAATCTTTTTTTTTTTTTCTTCACTCTCTTAATGAAAACTCTGTGACAGTCTTTTCCCTGAAAACAACCACGATAAGATAATCTGGCTGGAGCAAAACTGGGCAAGACATCGAGCTTTCCTGACACCCCGAGCTTTTCTTTCAGACGATTATTTCTCACAAGTCTTGAGAGAGGGCGAGCCCCTTGAAAAAGCCAGAAGCAGATGTTCTTAACCCAAATCACTCTGCTGGACTTTATTCTGGATCAGGGTGCAGAACAAAGAACAATGTTTCCTTCAGCAAGCCTGTTAAATGTCAGATGCACGAACAATTACAGGGTGTTAACCTAAGGGAATTGGCTCTGGGGCCCAGTGAACTCAGGGAACTCACAGACATGAAACGGACCAAGAACTCCTCTGAGCTTTTGCACAATGAGTATGATGTAGCATTTCTGAGACTTGGACGGTATAACAGCACTGGGAAGATGGCTGTGCTGGTGGAAGGCCCATAGAACTCGTTTTTACTTAGAAAGCTGTTATGGGAAAAGCTTGGGTAGTAGAATAACATTTTACTCTGGTCTTCACCCAACAATCGAGGTTGGTTATTATTATTATTATTATTTTTCACTTAAAAATAGTTGTATAGAGAAAGGAAGTGAAAATAAAGACAATAAACAACGCTTAACTATCTCAGGGCAGTAAAGTGTGGATGAGGGGAGATCCCCAGATGTTATGAGTTCAAGTCTTGCTCAGTGTAGTCTGTGGTGCTGTCTACAGCTGGGGGACCCTAAAAGGCGGGTCTTATGGGGAAAGAATTAGGCCCACGGGGGTGGGGGTGGGTGTTCAAATTATTGGGATCTGCAGCATCTCTTCGCTCTCTCCACTTTCCCTGATGACAAAGCACCCTCAGTTGGACAGTTCCTGCCCTGGGATTCTGCTTTGCCATGGCCCCACCCCAAAACAACAAGGGCAAGGAACCACTGAATGAATCCACTAAAGCTGTAAGTAGAAGTAGACCATTCCGTCTTGGTCTCCTGTAGGTTGCCATGCATAGGGAGTTCACAGACTAGATACAAGCAAACGAAATGTGTGCATCTTAGTATGAGTTGTTAGCTATTAAACAGAGTGCACTGACTAAAACGAGACACAGGAAAGCATCATGCTGCTGTCGCATCCAAAAGTCATCTTCATTAACCGCACACAATAACAACATTTTGTTCCAGCCATTCTCAGGATTGTGCTTAAAACACTTGCCTCTTTTCCACTTAAAAACAATACGGGGGAACAGAGAGATTGCTCAGTGGTTAAGAGCACTGATTGTCCTTCCAGAGAACCTGGGTTTGATTTTTAGCACCCACATGGTAGCTCACAACCACCTGTAACTCCAGTGCCAGCCAATCTCTCAACATCCTCCAGCCTCTTAGGGCACTGTGTACACGTATTTGCCAGCGAAACACCATATACATGTATAATAAGTAATTCTTCAAAAAAAAAAAATTAATCCTTTAAGATCAAGCATCCAAAATGAAGATACTATTGGAGAACAATAGAAATGTTCGTCAGTAATTGGAAGTGTGTCTTGTTTATGGTCAATGTTGGTAAATCATCATCATCATCATCATCATCATCATCATCATCATCATCACTCAGGCACATTAAGATCTTCAATCAATCTCTGCTGATACGGGGCAATTCAGTTTCTTTTTTCATTTTTTCTTCCTTCATCCTTCCCTCCTTCCGTTCTTCTCTTCCTCCCTCTCCCTCCATCCTTTCTTCCTTTTTGAGAAATGGTTTCCTATGCCATAGCCCAGGCTGGCTTTAGACTCTCTGTGTGTTCAAGCTGTCTTGGAACCCCCAGCCATCCTCCTGAGTGCTAGGATTTCAAGGACTCACCCCATAACCAGCTTGTAATTCTGTTTCGTTATGATGTAAGAAGAGCGCATTTGCTTAATTTCATTCAGGGAACCATTTGAGTTAGGCCATAATGCATGATGTGTTATTCATTCGTTTTGGAAGAGTTAAAAAGAAACACACATGTTTCAGGTAAAATGCATTAAAAATCAGTATAAAATAGTCACAGGATAACAAAAGAATCCCAAGAAAATAATCAATTACATCACATTACTCGATGAAAGTTTAAATATTTTATTAACTTTCTCTCAATTGTTTAAAATTTATTTTTTATTTACATGTATGTGTCTGTGTGTGGTATGTTCACATGAGTGTAGGTGACCCTGGAAGGCAGAAGAAGGCATCAGATCCCTGAGAATTAGGGTTACAGGTGACTGTGAGCCACCTGATGAGGGTGCTAAGGGCATCTGTAAGAGTTGCAAGCACTCTTAACCTCTGCATCATGTCTCCAGCCCGCAAAGCACATGTCTTATCCATCGCGCACTACTATATAACCAAATATATATGGATAATTATTTTGTACTCTCTCCAAAGATCTGTTCAGACTGAATGGAAAATGAAGCTTCTATTTATAGAGGGTCATGGAAAAAGTAAGTTCCTATTATAGCCTTAAACATAACACCACACTACCTTGTGCTTTTCCTGTTATAGTATAAAATTCTTACCTGCTGCATATGACAGGTGGGGGCAGGATCTGAGGGGACAGGTCAGGGGCACTTTGGGTGTAAGTTAAGGCCCTGTGAGATCCGGGGCCTCGCCTGGAAGTTACTTCAGGGGATTCTGGAAACTGTGCTGAAGTAATGTTGCCAACAGGACTACTGGCAGGTGAGCCTTGCGGAGGTGAGGAGGAAGGCGAGGGTACGGGTGAAATTTTAGTAAGGCTGCCTGAGAGAGAAAGAGACGAATGATGTCATTCAACAATACAAGCATGATTTCTTCCTGTCACCCTATGTACATACAACCAGTAGCCACCAGCTGCATGCGTGGCCCCAGATCTGATCTCATCTTCATGCCATCAGCTAGAGACAGGACATGCACCCGGGGCGTCTCCATGGCATGAAGGTATGGCCAGCAAATCATCCTGCAAAGTTGATAGTAGGGCTGGCACACCCTCTCAAGCTGTGGTGTCCTGAAGGAACCTAGGGCAGAGGGATATTATTTCCTTCTCCCATTTCTGTTTCTCTCCTGTCATCCTGGTTTGGAGTGACAATTATAATTTTCTCATGTGTTTGGAAAGTTTCACTACTTTTTAAAAGAAACACTTGTGTAGTTTTATATTTATGTGCATGTGTGTTGGCCTGCATGAGTTTATGTGCACGGTGTGTGTGCAGAAGCCCATGGAGGCCAGCTCCTCTGGAGCTGGGGTTCCCTAAATGTATGTGAGTGGCCATGCGGGTGCTGGGAATCAAACCCAGGTCCTGTAAAAGAGAAGCCAGTGCTCTTAGTCACCGAGCCGTCACTGCAGCCTCACGATTGTTTTACAGTTCATCTAGAGAACACAGTTGCAGGCATGGGGTAGGTAAGGCATGTAAGTGACAATGATACTTTGGGGGAGGCAATTAGACTTCTTAACTGTTTACACACTCAGTGAAATATACATTTCTATGTGAAAGCACGCTCTGGGAAGGGTGAGTTTGAGGGACGTTAAGATGTGATGCATCCAGCACAAGTAGCACAGTAGGCCCAAAGATTAAACTTCAAAATCGGGTACTTGTGCCAGATTCCCCATGTTTACATTGATGCTACAGTGTGAGGTCTCTCTAGGGTACTGAGTTGGAATTTTCTAGAGCTCTCACTCTGTAAGATGAAGCTAATGCCTTTTGACTTCCAAGTCATTCACAGGTCTTTGCTTACCCCCTCTTAGGGGAAACTGATAGCCCTGGATATTAATCTCTAGCTGGTGTGTGTAGCTAACTGGCAGTTGCTACAAGGCAGTCTTGTGTCCAAATTTCAGTTCCTTTAAAAATTTGACTTTTTTTTTTTTTTTTTGACAACAAAAAAGTTGTTTTTTGCTCCATGGCGTGGAGTATCATAATTTGTAGAATGGTTTCCTTGGCGTCTTTTTTATACTTTTGTTAAGTTCCTGAGACCTCTTATCCATTCTTCATATAATGTTTTGACCAATATATGACCTTTCATAAATGCCTTAGGAGTTTGTAGTCTGTGACAGCCACCATGACCCAGAGCATCTTGTGTAGAAACGGGTTTATTTCAGCCTACAGATCTCAGATCACATTACATCACTAAGGGGAGTCAATGTAGACAAGGCAGGAATTGAACCATAGAGAATACTGCTCAATGGCTTGCTCAGTCTTGCTTGCCTTCCTTCCTTCCTTCCTTCCTTCCTTCCTTCCTTCCTTCCTTCCTTCCTTCCTTCCTGTTTCTCTCTTTTGTTCTTTCTTGCATATCCTGACCACAGTTTCCCTTCCCTCCCTTCTCCCTTCCCAGTCCCTCCCTACCTCCCCTCTTCCCCCACGTCCACTCCTCCTCGATGATGGGAGATGTCATTCTGTAAATATGTTTCTCTTATTGGCTAATGAATAAAGAATTGCTGGCAAATAGGAAGGCAAAATAGGCAGGACTAGGAGACAAGGAGGATTCTGGGAGATGTAGGAGGAGATTCAAGATGTAGAGACTTGAGAGAGAAGCAGTCCAGACCCTCTCTCCAGTAAGATAAGACCATGTGGAAATACTTAGATTAATAGAAATGAGTTAATATTTAAGACAGAGCTAGCCAATAAGAAACTCTAGTAACAGGCCAGCAGCTTTATATCTAATATAGCATCTCTGTGTGCTATTTGGGGCTGATGCTGCTGTGGGATCAGACTGGCAGAGAAAGTGCTCATAACACCTCCTCTGTTTATATTCAGGAAAGGGCAGGCCTCCCATGGATATACACAAAACATGTCATATCAAATTGCAGTAAGACTAAACACTTCCCCATGTATTAAATTTGGGCAAGGCAACCCAATATGAAGAATAAGTTCCCAAAAGTCAGTAAAAGAGTCAGAAACAGCCTATGATCCCACTGTTAGGAGTCCCTCAAGAAGACCAAGCTACACAACTATCAGATATAACCAAAGGGCCCAGGTCAGTCCCATGAAGGCTCCCTGTCAGTTAAGTCTCTGTGAGCCCAAGTTAGTTGTTGACTCTCTCTGAGTGTGTGCGTGTGTGTGTGTGTGTGTGTGTGTGTGTGTGTGTGTGTGTGGTGTTCTTGACTCCTCTGGGTCCTACACTTCCTTTCCATCTTCCATAGGATTTCCCAAGCTCCACCTAACGATTGGCTGTGGGTCTACATCTCTTTCCATCAGTTGCTGGATGAAGCCTCTCTGGTGACAATTTGGCCATGAATATCGCAGAATATCATTAGGCATCATAATGTTGCCTTTTTTCTTTTTCTTCAGTGGTGTTAGGTTTTATCCTAGGTCTCTGGATCAGGAGGCTGACTGTGCCTGGCCAGAGTAAATGGCTGTGCTTAAAAATGTAAGCCTAGACATTAGCATTGCTGTAGACACTGGATCCTTGTTTTGGGTGGCAAATTTTGATATTTGGGATACATTTCCACTATTTTTGTTTCTTTTATCTTTTGTATGTATACATGTTCATGCATGTACATGAGTGTATGGGGGGAAGGCTAGTATGATTTTCACTGTTCTCACCAATGGCTTCTTACCTTGATTTTGGGAACAGAGCCTCTCACTAAACCTGTAGCTCACTGATCGCCTAGACTGCTCATCATCCAACCCCTGGGATCCTCCTGTCTCTTCCTCCTCAGTGCTGGAATGGCTGGCTTGTCTCAGCCTGGCTTTGATGTTTACATGGATAATGACGGTAGAACTCAGTCTTCAGTCAAGCACTTCACCTACAGAACTGTCTCCTTGATCCTATTACCTCTTTCTTTCTTCTTTCTTCCTTTCTTCTTTCTTTCTTTCCAGACCATTAGTCCAAAGCCCTTTAGGAAACTTCTCCATTTCTATCTGGACGCGGATATGTTTTCTGAGGGTAATTTATGAGAAGACTGATTTTGTTTTAGTAGCTGGGAGCTGATAGCTGTACAGACATGGGCGTTCATACTTAAAATACACATTTTAAACTCTGTACAGCCATTAGGTTCTTGGAACTCCATGGTTAACTAAATTTAAACTAATAAGCAGACTCTGTGGCTCCTGGGATGCACTTTTGAATAAATGTGCAGCAGAGAAGCACTTTACTTTTATAGTTCTTTGCTCTCTCTATTTTGAACTCTTTAACAAGCACCAGGTCCCTGCGCCAACAGGGAAAAGCAGAGAGTAGGGGGCAGTGTCGGTGGGAAGGAAGCTGGGAAGATGAAAACATGAAGGCTGGTGCAGGCAGAGGACACACATTTCTATGCACCAGTCTTCACATAGATGGAGAGCCATCAGTGCAGACACAGGCAGGGCTTCCTTTAATGCTTCTACCTGCTATATGCTAATTAGTAGCAAACTTATACTTGCTTCTTAAGAACAAATAGAAAAGATAAGAAGGGAGGGAGGGAGAGAGGGATAGAAAGAGAGAGGGAGAGGAAGGAAAATGAAAGCAAAAGAATAAGGGAGTGGCAGGGAGAAAGGGAAGGAGGAAGAAAGGGCTGGCTTCAAGGTCAAGGCAGAGACGCAGATCTGAGGGCTTAGACACCAAGATTGGGTGAGCCACAATCTTACTAGCTGTTCCCCCTCAGAGCTCTATCTACTGCCTGTTGGCAAAGAGGAAGCTGCAAGTCTGAGCAGAGGACCCAGCTACCACAGAGACCAGCAAAGCTTTTAGCAATGTCATGAGGGTGATGACATGGAGTTCACAACTGCCATGGCAGCCAGACTTGCATGTCCAGTATCACAGTTAGAAAAGAGGATCCTCATTTAGCCCAAACTGAAATTCTTAAGCTCCTGAAGACAGAAGATGCAGAAAGTAATCTAAGAACCTCAAGAAAAAAAAAATTCTACAATGCCATGGAACAAGCATTCATTGTAATTCTCTGAAGGAAGAGGTCAGAGGAGCAGCCCAGGCCCTCACCTAAATTCTGGAGAGACAAATATAATAAAGTGGTGTGTGTGTGTGTATGTGTATGTGTGTGTGTGTGTGTGTGTGTGTGTGTGTACATTCTTGCATGCAGTGTCTAGGGAAACCAGAAGTGCGCCTTGGATCCCCTGGAGGGTAGAGTTAACAGGTGGTTGCCTGATATGAGTAATGGGAATCAAACTCTCATCCTCTGCCAGAGTTGCAAGCCCTCTTAACATTGAGTCAACTCTCCAAGGCCTTGAGTTCTTATTCCTGCTACATTAGCCTCCAAATGCTGGAATCATAACTGAATCTTACCACACCCTATTTACAGATGGCAGCCTGAACCTGGACTTAGATTAAGTGAGGTGAATCTCCCAGTTCCTTCCACTTTCCCACCTAAAACATCATTGTTCATTTTAATGCCAAGGTTCATCACCGCAACGTATGTATAGAAAATGAGATCTTGTACCTGGAGAATACGTTGCTTACCTGGCCTGTTTTGCTTTTTAGCTTTTACATGGTTAGCTGCAGAGATGGCGTAGGATGAAGTGAAGGATCTACTTTTGGTGAGCGTCATCGATCCGGGCGTATTCCAAGAGTCGGGATTGAGAGCGCTGCAAAGATGACAGCAGTTAAAGACCACAGAGAGATTACTCAACTGTGACTGAGCACACCTTGCCGGAGCCCAGCCTCCACCTCTGCAACAGACACACCAATATGAGTATTTCTACCCAGGTTGCTGCCAGAACCATATAACTTGCAAGTGATAGAATAAGCTAAGTTCAGCCTCGACTGCAGCTGTGTGTCTACGTGTCTCTCATCAAACACAGTCTACCAAGAGCAAAGATGTCATTCCCAATCCATCTGATTCCTAGAAACGAAATACCCTTTCCTACATGTGTAGTTATGCTGTTTACATATTTTTCAAAACCTATCTACTGTGATGCAACTGTCCTTATAGGACAAGAGAGTGACATACTGCTTACTTAAGTGCTCTTTGTTATACACCATTGTTGGTGGACTGTACCCTCAGTAATTGATCGCTCCACTCAATAACAATGTCTTGCTGCAGTGCTTAACTTACCAAGGAGAACAGGAGAAGCAGACATGGAGCCTGCCATTTCTCTGTTGGCAAGTCAGCATTGTCTTTCAAAGAGAACTGCTAGCAGCAGCCTATAGCAAAGTCCTAAGACTGCTCTCTACTGGTGACCCTCTGGAAAGAATGTGATAACCTAGCCACACCCTACTGAAACACACTCAGGATGGACACGGTGCTAACATACTGATGGTATGATTAGAGGAGAGGCAAGAGGTTCTCTTTACCTAGGAAATGCATTTATCAACATAGACATGGTTCATCAAGTTGTTCCCCATAAACAAATCTGGAATCAATCCTCAGAGGAAGGTTACAGGAGCTGTGTAATTAGTGGGATAGGATTCCTGGAGGCCTTCCACACCACAATTTCTCTTTACATACTGTGTCAAACATGTGGCAATGGAAACATTATCCGCTCTAATTTGGGAGACGACAGAATTCAGGAAGTTTTGTGTTGACAACCTTGAACGCTCCCAGTGAAAAGTGCTTGTCCTGTGTCTTGCCAGCACCTGTGTGTCCTTTCAAGCACCAGTAAATCTGGAGAATGTTGAAAATCTTTAATTTGCAGATCGAGCTGGATGTGTCTGATCTGTCTGGGTGGCATACTGTAAATAATCCTGAAATTGATGGGATTATGACTCATGATGCATATAATTCAAAGATAGTCTTAAAGAACGGGGACTTTACTTCTAGCAGCCATCAGTTGCCAAGAGCTCCTTAGTAAGGGGTAGGACTTCATGAACCCCTCCCCCAGGAGACTTTCCTTCAACAATTATAATTTAAAAGTCTCCTTCTGCTCTTTTCTTAACAACTTACCACATACACAACGAAAGAGACATTCGAAGGGTGAAGTAAACTTCAGCAATTAAGTACACTTGAAGCCTACAAAATGCTTGCTCCAAGGCATCCTTAAAAATTTCGTCCTTAGCCCTTCTCAAATGCTGGGAATTTTGTGAATGAGATTTTACAAAGAAACAACTTTGTGTATTACACAGTCAGTGACTCCCTTGTGCCAGCCGTCTCTGTTCACCCATCCCAGGTGCCCGAGTAGCTGCTGAAACTGAAAAGGTTATGTGATGTGTATTGTCTGTCTTTTCATTTCTTAGACTACTCTACGGCTGGTAAATTATTATTCATCCATGTAGACCTTTTGAAGAACTTAACATCATTCCACATCTTAAAAAGATAGCTTATTGAGGCTCATTCAAAAACTGCCTATCTCTATTCTTTTACAGCCAATAAGCATTTAAAATGGGGCTTCAGGGATGGCTCAGTGGTTAAGAGCACTGACAGCTTTTGGAGGGAACCCAATTTGATGCCCAGTACCAACATGACAGATCACAACCATATATAATTCCAGTGCCAGAGGATCCAGTATCCTCTTCTGACTTCCAAAGGTACTATATACATGTAGTACGTATATACATTCATGCAGGCAAAAATCACTTATATATGGAACTAAAAAAAAAAAAAAAAAAAGAACACTTCAAAAGAGGTGTGTTTAAAAAACAATTAAAATGTGTTTGAGAAGTCTATAAAATGGAATACAATGAAGTCAAGATTAATAAAATCCTACCTACACCTACCCCACTTTAAGCTGCTATATATTAATTTATTGCATATATTATTAATAAGACAGCATGAATCAATGTATGTTATTTAAATGCATTGTAGTTCAGGGTGATGTCTGCATATTTGTCACCTTTGCAATGACCAGTGCTGGCTTACCCCTGCTTAGAACTAAAGAATAGGTAAGAACTGGGATTCAGGGCCACTGCAGGACAACAAGTGGAGAGATGCTAGACAGTTATTCAAGGAGGACAAAGACACAATAAAATGTGTGGCACAGGGCCAAAGGAAAACTTGAGAGAGATTCACGCAGCCAGTCTGCTCCACAAAGCCGTCGTGTGGGGAGGTCTGTAAAGTGTTCCCAGCGATGGGCTGATCTATGTAGTCTCTGGCCAGAGCTGTTCTGTGGGAGCCTTTGATAGAGAGCTTGCTGGGTTTCAAAGTGCAGGGCTCAAGTAACTTATACGCAGAATGCTAGAGGTGAAGGTGGCCCAGTTGCTGGTAAAGACTCATGAACAGGTTCAGCCACTGTGCTGTATACGTGGAAAAGTAAGACTTCACTAAATAAAAAGGAAACTTTACTAAATGTGAAGTAAATGCAAAGGTCTCAGGGTTTGAGCAGCTGCCCCTTCCATGCTCAGGTCCCCACCTCTCTGTCATGGAGAGGAAACTGCTTCAGACATTGAGTATTTACATACAGACATGGGTATTTTCATTCTGTCACGATAAGCGCACATGTATATTTCATAATTCTGTAATTATAGGGCAAGGACTATTGTATTCATTGATATATAAAATATTCTAATTTTCTTCTAAGTTATAAAGCAGAGACAAAGCACGTTTTTAGTTGTTTTATTATACATTCGTTTTGGATCCTAATACTATCTTTAGCCTTTCAAATTTTGGCCTTTCAGTCACTAACAGAATTTGGGTCTTGAATTTCCCACAAGGGCCATGTGTTAAAGGCTTGTCTGAGCTTCAGAGACTGAACCTTTAAAGGTAATTAAGTCAGTAGGGTTGGGGTTGTCCCTTTGCAGGACATGTTAGGAATGAGCTCTTGCCTTCTGCTTCTTTCTGCTTCCTCTCCCTTCTGTCTGTTCTGGCAGCTACAAGATATGCAGGCTCCTTGGCCTTGACGTACTATGCTCTAAAGCCCCACAGCAAAATCTGAGAAGCCACAGGTGGGAACCGCTAAATAATCCTTACTCTACATCAGGCACTTGGTCAGTGATGGAAAGAGGACTTACACATAAAATTGCAATTTAATATACTGTTAATATATTAAATAAAATGGAAAGGGTATATGGCTCAGGTAAGAGCAATTGTCCAGGAAACGTGCAAGTGTATGTATATGCACATATATACTCACACATATATATACTCACATATATACATATATGCACACATGTATACACAGACATAGATATGTAAATACTCATGCATATATATATACACAGGCATGCATACATACAAACATACATATACATGCATGCACACATATACACACATACATATACTTAAATGCATATACACACATTTATTCATATACACAATATACATATATATAAACACACACACAGACATGTACATACATACACACATGCTAACATACACAAACACATGTACTTTTAAACACATATAGACACACATGTACATGTACATATACATATACACATGCATACATATGCACACACATACACATATACTTGTATACATATATACACAGACACATATATACACATATACACATGCATACACACAGGCACACATATACACACATACATACATATCACATGTACACATATACACACACATACACACATGCACATACACATGCACACATATACACAAACACGCACACACATAAACACACAGACACATACATATACGCATTTGTACACACACACATACACACATATAAGCACACGTAAACACATGTATATACACATACATGAACATACATAAACACACGAGAAACCACACACATACAAACAAAAGCTATATTCACACATACATATAAATGCACATATGCAGAGGAATTTTTAAAGATTTGAATATATCCAAGATCTATAATTCTTGCAGGAATTTTGCAGGAATTAAGGCATAGCAGGGCTGACAGGCCATGGTAGGAATTGTATGTAAATGTTACACTAGATGCCTTCAAGCTAGCTGTCAGTGTAGATTGTAAATCAGGTAAAGTGTAGTGTACCCTCACTCTGGCCTTAGGTTTTTCCACTCAATGCCACAGGAGCAGGGGTCACCCCAACCCACTTTTGGTGACTCTTGGTTGGGCATCTCCTCTTGGGCTCTGAATCCTCCTTGGCACGTAACCCTTCCGAGGGGACATGGGACGGTGCAGCGGACTCTAACCTGGGTGAAGGTGCGTCGTGCGGCTTGATGCTGGCACTGCGGTCTCTCCGCACTGGTGCAGGCTCCAGGGTGGGCAGACCTGTGGCAGAGGTGGTGGTTGTCCAAGTCGAGGAGACTCTTCTCAGCAAGCCTGGGGGCAAACTTCTCCTCAGGCGCTGCAAGGAAAATGTGCTTCATCACCAACCATATTTTAGATCGTTAGCTCTTATGAAAAACAACGGAAGGAAGGAAGGCAAAGGGAAGCATTGCATGAAACCGTAGAGGCTGGGTGTCATCTATCCCTGTCCTGGGACAGTGAAGAGAAACACTGTTGAAATGAGAAAAGCAGCAGCAAGCCAGGCCCGGAGCTCACTGGGGAGTCTCAGGGAATGACTGCAACAAGCAAGCTGTGCTATACAGCAAGTGCTGGGCTCCTAGGTCTACACAGTGAGCGAGGGTTCCCAGGTCTACACAGTGAGTGCAGGTTCCCAGGCTCTGTCTCAGAACGCTCAGAAGTGGCGGAAGGAAACCTTGAAGACTGTGAAACTTTCGCTCAGGCCAAACCCTTCATGCCACACCTACCTTGGAAATGGCCAGTTTGTCTTTCTCCAAGCCCTCCTCCGAATCAGAGCAGGGATAGTTCTCACTGAAGGTTACAGACGGGTTCACCCTGGGCTTGTGGATGGCCTGGAAGGTGAGCTGCGTGCTAAGAAGGTTGCTCACGGCCCTCAAGGATGTGCACACGTTCGGAGGCAGAGAAGGGTCTGCGAGGAGGTCGGTGATGAGGCCGTGGGCCTCGCCCATCACGGCAATATCCACGGTGATGCTGGTTCCTGACTGAGACAAGAAAGCCACAGGTCAGGGAGGGTGACAGTGAGTATGGAGGTGAAGAGAGCTAATCTGGGCTTTTCTGGCTGTCAGGCACTGTAGTGCACACTTACACACTTGACTCACAGGCAGCCGAGGCAGGAGGATATGACCTCTGACCTCTGACCTTTTCCGACACTTCTTCCGATGATACTTCATGCAGATGTTTTTATCAGCGGTCCTCAACCTTTCCAAAGCTGAGACCCTTAATCCAGTTCCTCATGGGCTGCTGACCCCAACCATAAAATTATTTTTGTTGCTAGCTCCTAAGTGTAAATCTGCTATTGTTATGAATCATAATGTAAATATCTGATATGCAGGATATCTGATGGGGTTATGATCCACATGTTTAGAACCACTGATATATACATACATACATACATACATATATATATATTTACACATACACATTTAAATGTATGTGTACATGCAAGCAAAACATTCACACACATCATAACATAAATATTAAAATAAATACTTAAAAAACCATTTCAAACAGTTATAAATATGATATACTAATAGATTACATATTGCATAATATTCAAACCAGGGTCAGCACATCTGTGTTTTAGGTGTAAACCATTCACCATTTCTCTGCACTGGAAATCTTCAAAGGCCTTTCTTCCAGCTTGTTAAAACTCATCACCATCACCTACAGTCATCCCACTGGGCCAGCATGTGGCAGCTCCTTTCTCCCTCTGAGGCACAGTTTTCAAAGCTAGAGCTTGAGGAGGAATGGGACATGCCTAGAGCAAGACAAAGACAGCTCCTGGGCTGCATCTTAGCAGTACAGAAATTGCCTGTGGTGATATATTATCTATGATTTATTAGAGCTTGCCTTAAGATTCAGAAAGCAAAGTCAGCCTCGGGCTATAGAGATCAGGCAGTGGTGGTACACACCTTTAATCCCAGGACCCACTAAAGAAAGGCAAATGGATCTCTCTGAGTTCAAGGCCACCCAAGGTTACACGAGATTGAATCGGTCTAAAATAGTGACAGAGCTCACACCTTTAATCCCAGCACTAGAGCGGTATAAAGGATAGAAGCAGGGCCTTCGGTGGTCAGTCTCAGGAGTTTCTAGCCACGCTGAGGAGAGCACAGCAGACTGAGTAAACCTGAGGGGCAATACAGTCGCGATCAGTTTGAGGATCGCCCCTTTGGGCTGAGCTGAGGTAGAGGTGAGAGCCAGCAGCTGGCTACTCTGCTTTCTGATCTTCAGCTTAGACCCCAATATCCGTCTCTGGGTCTTTTACTTGTCCTGTTACACTTTCCTAGCACATTTGAGCTCTGGGTTTGATAACAGCATCCCCACCATCCAGTGCCAAACTTACAAAAGGTTGAATCAATCAACAGCCAGTTTTAAAAGGCAGAGGACTTGAGAGGAAAAAGCAGCACCAAGCATTCCACACGGAGAGATCGCCATTTTACTGTCGCTGGAAAATTTCATTTTGGAAGTGACCTTAACACACAAAAATGGCCTGCTTCCCATGAAGGTCTCATGTAACGCTTGGGCCTGGTGTGTGGTAGGGACCGACCTAGTTTTAGAGACGGATATGAAAAGCCACCAAGTCTGTGCCCACATTCCCACTCTGTCTCTCCTGGTTGGGAAGATCAGATTTCAGTTCTGTGACATCCTTGTTACATTTTGCTAAGTTGTCCATCAGATCAGAGACATTGGGGAAGAAGAGAGGGAAGGAAAATAAACAACAACAAAACTAAAACAAGAAGTGAAGCCAAATGCATCCCACATTGCTGTTCAGGAGAGATTAGAAGAGAGGAGGGATCCAGAGAAAGACAAGCTGCCAAGTGAAGGCTCCAGACCATGGCAGAAGACCACCTGTTCTGCCATGAAGTCATGGGCCAAGCACAAGGGACTGTAATTTCAAACTACACATCATAGAGGTTATGGAAGCAGGTCCTAGAGCTAGGCATTTAGATCTAGGTCTGTCTCATAATCTAGCACTTTCCAAGACCATAATCTCTACCAGATAACTAAAACCCCCCACTCCTATATCTTCCGTCTGTGATTTTTAGGTATAATAATAATAATGGTTCCAGGAATGGGCAAGGGAGCAGCACCTGTAACCCCAGTATTTAGGAGAGGTTGTCCAAGGCCAACTTTAGTTATATAATGAGTTTGAGGGCAGTGTGGAATATACTTTCTCAAACAACAGAACAAGACAAGAAAAAAGCCAAGTAGTAGTAATCATCATCATCATCGTTATCATCATCATCATCAACCATAATGTTACTGCTAAACTCTTAAGGTAAATGTAAGAATGTAAAGAGATAATGTGTATCAAACAACTGTGTTAGCAGTTATAAAATTTCAGTCACAGCTGTGGTATAAACAATAATAAATATAATAATGTAGGTGGCAGTGATAGCACTAAAGCTTTTAAATAAGAGGCTATTAGAGTTTTAATAAATTTCCCAAAATAGACCTAAATTTCAATGATCTGAAAAAATTAAATGTATAAAATTATAAAATAAAAAGGGAGTGTTGAGGAGTGTTTTCTAATCTGCCAGACAGAAACTTCAAAGATAGGAATTCATAAGCTGCCAAGGAAACCTGCAGCAGGGTTGTCTAAGCAAAGATAGAAACATCTATGTCAGAAAATGCATCATAAACTGGGTGATGGTGGCACACACCTTTAATCCCAGCACCCAGGAGGCAGAGGCCAGCCTGATCTACAGAGTAAGTTTCAGGACAAGCCACCCCCACACCCACAAAAAAGAAAGACATGCAAAGGAAGAAGTCTGAGAGGAAAATATGAGATAAAACACAGTAAAGGGCTTCTTAAAAATCAATATAGAAGGGGAAAAAGTAAATAACCATCTGGCATGATATGGGCTGTGGGCTTGCTGTATACTGCCTTTATTTATTATGTGGCTATATGCCCCTGTATACCTATGTTCTTCAAGACTTTTATCATGGAAGAAGCTGGATATAGTCAAAGGCTTGCTGTATCTAACAAGATGACCTTGTCATGCCTGCCCTTGAGTCTGTTTATGGGCTTGTGTCCTGATTGGTGCTCTGTCAACTTGGCACAGGAGAGTCGTCAGGAAAGAAGGGCCTCAACTGACAAAATGCCCCCATCAGACTGGCCTATAGGCAATTTGTGGGGCATTATCTTTCTCCCAGCCCACAAGGAGTGGTGCTACTTCTGGGGTTGCTGTCTTGAGCTGTATAAGGAAGCAGGTTGAGCAAGCCACCACAGGAGCATTCTTTTATGGCCTCTGCTTCAGCCCCTGCCTCCAAGCTTCTGCCTTGACTTCCCACAAGGATGGTTTATATAAACTATAATTGGAAATAAACCATTCCCTCTGCAAATTGCTTTTGGCCATGGTCTTTGTAACAGCAGTATAGACTGAAGTAGAACAAGTAGACTACATTAATTGATGTGCACATGTTGAGCCATTCCTGCATCTATGGGTAAAGCCAACTTGATCATGGGGAATACTCTTTGATGTGCTCTTGAATTCAATTTGCAACTATTTTATTGAGAACTTTTGTATGTACATTTATTAGAGAGATTAATGTACAGTTTTCTTTTATTGTATGTGAGTCTTGATTTTAAGGCAGGACAATGAATGCCTGCCATCCCGGACTGGAGGTAGGAGTTTGAGGCCACCATAAGTTATATAATCAGTTTAAGGTCAGTCTGCACTATATGAAGTGTCCCTACTCTCCAACACAAGAAATAAACAAACAAACCAAACCAAAAAGAACTATTTTCTTCTCTAATAATTAAGATGTAAAGCAATTGAACAAAGTCATCCATTATTACCAAATGTTTCCAGAATTATAAAAATATAGCAAGGACCAAGTATCTACAAACCAATGTGAAAATTTAAATGCACTATTAATAGCTTTAGGATAATTATGCTCATGTCATACAGGTATACATTATTTATGACAACATTCACAAAAATACCACCCAGTTGGGCTAGAACCTCTTTTAACAATATGCATCTTTCAAATCCATCTCATATACTTGTAGAATAAAAAATCGTCTAGGGCATTTCTCTGCAACAGAACTTATTCTCTCAACCCATACTTTTCTAATACATTAAATGAGAAATGTCCCTCATAAGTTCAGACCTTCAAATGTTTGGTCTCTAGGTCCTGGCTCTGCTGGAGAGGTGCAGTCTTATGGCAGAAAGTACATTACTGGAGACTGACTTTGAGAGTTCACAGCCTTGCACAGAGTCTCTTCTCTCTCTGCTTCATGCTTGCAGGTAAGGATGGCAATAATGGGTTGATATGGCTCTGGAGACATAGTCCAAGTAAACTTGTCCTTCTCTAAGTTGGTTTTGGAGATGATGTTTTTATCACAGAGACAGAAAAGCAAACTGACACACATACCCTAAGATGGTGTACTACTTTCATGAAAATTCGAAATTTTAAGTTGAAGTTTAAAGGACAAATTTTAAGAGTTTTTGACAATGAAACAAATCAAAAAAAAAAAAAAAAAAAAAAAAAAAGCAGAGCAGTCCACTCATAATTAGGTGAGACATTTTTTTTAAAAAAGTCAATTATCGAAGAGAATAACTTTGCCTAATTTCCTTTTTTGTTTTAAATATTTTATTACAATTATTTATATGTGTGTGCATGTCCATGCATGTACTTATGTGTTGTGTGTGGTATGTGGTGAGTGGTATGTAGTGTGTATGTGTGTGTGTGCGTGTGTGATATGTGTATGCATGTGCATGTGTGTGTGTGGTGTGTCATGTATGCGAACATGTGTGTGCACATGTGCATACACACAGGTGCTATGGACAAATGGGGGGGGTTAGAGGACAGTATTCTGGGATCAGTTCCCTTCCATTATGTGAGTGGCAGGGATCGAACTCATGTTCCCAGGCTTGACAGTAAGTACCTTTATATAGGCAGATTTCTTTCCAGTCCTTGTTCATTTGTTTATTTCAAATACAGCTATTTTTTTTTTTTAAATCAAGCCATGTAT